GCTCACAATAAAAGTATTTTTAACGTAGAGAAATGTCTGTTTGTAATTCCACATATTAATTTACCTACGTTATGAACCTTAAACAACAACTGTACAATATTTTTTTAGATAATAATTCATGTGATTTAATTTTTGGAAATAACGTAAAATTACGCATCTTGCTACGAATATGACTCAATATCCATGAAAATAGAGAGTTGAGACTGATATTCGCTTGTTTAATACTCGTAAAAACTCTTTGTTTCATGTGCTCATCATCTGAATGATACAGCTTGACAATATTTATGGTAATAAAATTGCTTTAACTATATTAAACAAGCTAGGCTACGATAACACTGACAAAAGGAATTAGTGTTTCACCAAATCGCTTCTATGTCGTGCTTTAGTTGTCAAGTTTTACTTGTTTAATCGCTACACAATTTTGTTCTATATGGAACATACTTTTACAATAGGTATCTCTAACTTGATACTTTCAGCAATATTAAAACCAAAGAACTTTACTTATCCGAAATGAATATATCAATATGTAACATATAAATATTTATTTAAAACTAGCTGGAGTACCCGTCTCCTGGACAGAAGTTATGTAAATGCATGGTTAATGAAAGGTTATCGTAGGACATGAAAAGTTGCTTCCCTTATATGTAATTGTAAAAAAACGCCCATAAAACCCTAAAAACTCAATATTTGTATTCGATGACGAGGAACCCACTTTGAGACTAATAATGGATGGAGACGGCTTGATGATGACAAAACCTTGTCGAAACGTTGTACATTTGCTGTTATGTTAAACTTATATTAAAGTTTTTCTTCATTACCCATTCAAGCCGTCTCCAGCCATTATCAATATTTGTATGTATTTCCCCATGGACCCAATGAACCTCCGTACCACATTTGGTGAAGATCCATTCACAGGAGGTAAAAAACGCCCATAAAAACCGCCAAACGCAAAACTAAATATTTGTGTTTTGTTATAGCAAAGCCACTTTGGGCTATCTGTTATGACCACCGAAGGGAATCGAACCCCTGATTTTAGCGTTGTAAATCCGAAGACTTACCGCTGTCCCACCGGGGGACCTGAATATTTGTATGTATTTCCCCATGGACCCAGTGAACCTCTATACCAAATTTGTTGAAGATCCTTCTACAGGGGGCGAAACAGTAGTAAAAAACGCAAAAACACTCATAAAAACCGCAAAATGCAAAACTGAAAGTTTGTATGTACCTCTGATGGACTTAATGAACCTCCATACTAATTTGGCTGAAGATCCATCTACAAACCTGCGAAGTAGTTACATGGACAGGCAACAGACAGTACAATTATATTTATATAGATTCTATCAAAATCTAAATTCTTTATACACTTGGACCAAAGGATTATATCAATGTCTTTTATATCAAGCTTAAAAACAACTACAATAATAATTTTCCAATATCCGTAATATTAAGATAAGCTTTGTTTAAGATTAATAGTGCTAATACTTAATAACGACTATAATAATATCTTTCCAATATCCGTACGACGTTTCGATGACAAGCAAGTCTTACATATTGTAAAAGCTGTAAATTGTACTAAATGTACTTAATCAGTAAGTAAACTCAAAACGATACTATAGGATAAGCTTTGTTTAAAATTATTGTTAATAAGGGCTGCAACAATATTCTACCGATTGTTCTAATTTAAGAGAAATAAAGCTAATACTTAATAACTACTATAATAAAATTCTCCTAATTTCTGTAATATAAAGCTAAACAGAATTATTGTTAACTAATGGTTGCAATAATATTTTTTTTCCAAATTTTTGCAATATCAAAAAGATAAAAAATTTGTTTGTTTCTAGTTAAGAACAAAGCTACACGGTGGGCTATCTGTGCTGTGGCCACCACGGGTATGGAAACCTGATTTCTAGCGTTATAAGTTGACATGCTTACCGCTGTAGGAGATAAAAAAAAAGAGTAATTGTTATATAATGATAGTGACAGTATTTTCAATGTCTACAATCATTTTGTTCTATCAAATCAAACAGTTTCTATTATATAATAACTGTAATAATATTTTTCTAATTTCTGTGTTATAAAGCTAAACACTAACACTGAATAATGACTGTAACAATATATGTTTTTATTTTAAATAATGGTTTTAATAAGTAATTTTTACCAATTATATTTCGGTTTTTGAAAAGCATGAAGTAAGTGGAATTTAGACAGCCTCGTCGTTTAGTTGACGTCTATAATTGAGATCTGTTTTAATTTATACTTCAACGGATTGTTCAAAAATGTTGTGTTAATATATTGTTATGGCAGCATTCTCTTTTCGTTTTTTTATTATTATTTACATTTATCTGTATAGGTATTCAAACTAAACGTTGTTTGTTTATTTCTATAGTCACCTTGTTTTGTTTTATAATATAACGGTTCCAATTCCATTCCCAACCGCGATTGTGCGACAAATGTGTTATCGTTGCCGCTATTAAATAGATAAAAACATTGGTATAGAAAATCACAACACTGCCTCCCAGCGGCTAGTTGTAAACTATACCTGTATAATTGTATGTACCGAGTATGATTATAGTCACTGATTACATCGTTCGTTATCTTATCTCTGACTCCACTGAATTCGAAATAAGCTTTTTCTCTTAAAATTCATAAAGTTATGTCTTGATTGGTTACTTTCTTATATACTTGGCGAAAAAATTGCATCGTACATTTTAAAATCCCACAGCAAGATAAGCGTATATCACCTGACACAAAACTTCTATTAAGCGCATGCGCAAAAATACTGATAATGAGATAAAAGGCCTACTTCAAAAGCAAATTATTTTTTAACACAATCTTTGCTCGTGTTTTTTAAATAAGTTCAAATAAAAAAGTTCTGACAATTATTTTCAACTGTGCTGCTGATTTAAGTGTAGGTTTAAAAATTAATAGATTTTCTAACCTCGTTTTTAGCATCTATTTATGCAGATTTCACACCCTTGTTATCGTAATTTGGTTTTGTTAGCAATGTTTGTATTGTAAAGTTATAAACTTTACTTTACCTTACATACAAAAGATTAAAAAAAAACTTACAAAACATTTAATATTATTATTATCAACTTTCAAACGGTTAATTTCATGTGTTGGGCAAGGTAGTTTTAATTTTAACAGAATTAATATAAACTGAACTAATTGTATCAAAAGTTTTAGAAAATAATCTATAACCATCGAACATAATCTATTAACGCATTACTCCTCAACATTGTGGTAAACTATAATGGTTTTTGGTAGAGGAAGCTGTTAATCATGATGATGTCGCTAGATCTAGACAATTCGTAAAATTTGTTCTAGAATACCTAAAGGACCATGTTGATGTAATAATCTAAAAATTTTGTGAAACTTTGAAAATCGGGAGAACAAAAATACGAGTAATCTGGTATGTGAAGATTCAATGAGAATTCAGTGTCTTTATGAGTTCAACGTCAGAAAAGTTCAATGTTAGGAGTAAGATTATCGTGTTTATTCACTTAATCAAGGCCTGGCATAGCCTTGTGGTTAGTGTGCTCGACTCGCAGTCTGTGGGTCGTGGATTCAAATCCCCGTCACTGAACATGCTTGACCTTTCAGTCGTTGGGATATTAAAATACGACAGTCAATCCCAATATTCGTTGGTAAGAGAGTAGCCCAAGAACTGGCTGGCGGTTGGGCTAGCTAGCTTCTGTTTTGTCTATCATTGCTTAATTAGTGACAGCTATAGCAGTTAACCTTCGAGTAGCTTTTCGCGAAATTCAAAAACAAACAGCTACTCAAACGATTAGCGAGGAAATTCTGTAACTAAGTGTAAGTAAGCTTATTTGTGAGTTAGATGTACTTACCGTTAATGAAGGAAGTTTTGTTAAACGGTATTAGTGTATTAGTTTTGTATTTGAAAATATACTTCATTTATGGTAGTTTCGCGAATGTGTACAATAGAAGTTATGTGTCAGGTTTTATGCGTTTGCACTTAAATATACTTTGATAATATCAGTTGTATTCTTAAAATTAATAGCTCACGAAGCGAAAAATTCATACATGGTAAATAATTATTTTTTAAATTTTGCACTCTACAATAGCGCCTAGATTATATGAAACTTTTGTGCATGCGCACTAAACGATACTTTTGACGGAGAGCTGTTATAAAACTGTTGTATAGGATGGCGAAATTTCAAAATATATTTAAAAATTACTATTTATCTACAACTTACAATCTCGAATGGGTGTAATCAAGAACAAACTGCGCAAAAGTAAAAATATAGTTTAACTAAAGTTTATTATTGACCTAATTTTAAACCTAAATCCATACAGTCACAAACGTATAATGTCCGTGTTTGTAGACTATAAATGAATTATCTTCCTCATGTTATGGCTTGACTGAGTGACGAAGTTTTCAACATATTTGGTAAATCAGAGTGGGTTGTTTTGTTTTTGTTCGATAGGGGGGGGGGTGAACGGCTCACTAAAGTTGACTGTATAGAGAGAAGGATACTATTAAGTTATACAGTTTGTTAAAATGATACAATGTTGTGAAAGGCAATGGGCGATAAAAAAAAATACGCTTGTATTCACATTTTATCAGTAGGCTAGGCTGATTATGGTATTAAACGCAGTTTCCTTTGAAGTCTTGCTTCAAAATTATCACTTAAATTACACTTGCACTGAAAATATTTGGTGGTTATATGTTAGTTTGACGTAAAGATAACTAGTCCTTGAAAACGCCAAGGCAATTCGAAAACACTCGGGAAAGTGAATCGAACTCAAATTTTGTGTACATTCTCAGGTGTTTATAGACACGTAGACATATATCTTGCTGCCCATAGATGCAGCATCACGTGGGAAGCTTGAACACTTCGATTGGTACATTTGAGCTGGGGGTTAAGCAGCGGGAATCCTAACAAAGTGACGTCATCAAAATCAGGTCATTCGCGTATACACACTTTTCTCCAACCCCGCGTTAGCTTCAGCATTGCCCAACACATAAGCTAGGCTTGGCTAGTCGACTACCTCGTGAGCGTCAGTTAACCGTAGTCCGTATCGTGATCAGGACTGTCTGTGCTATTGCATGCGCCATTTTTTAGTTTCATACTATTGCCCTGTGAATAGTTAAGTCTAGTTTGTTATTAATATTACATAAAACACTGTCATTTAACTATTGGCTTCCTTTCATTATAACTAATAAATGATACTTGACTTTAAGTGAAACTCCGAAGATTTGTCCGGCGGACGTTTATGGCATGGGGGTTGAGATTTACCCTCTACATTATCCTCAGCTAGGCATCAAGGTTTGTTTACTAGTAGTAGTAATAGATTTATTGTCTCTTTTTGGAGAGTTTACCTGTTTGTACATTCATTGTCAATCATTACGTGTATCTGTTTTTTTTTTTTTATATTTTATGTCTGTGAACTCTGTTTTCGTACCGTAAGTTTTTGTTTTGTTATACGAGCGTCTGTTAAACTTTTTTAATAGCATCTGACAAGTCAAAGAGAGGGAGAGTAGCTGTGAGCATGAGTATGATTCAGTTCTATATTGCTTTGAAAAGAAAATGCTGTATTTGAAGTTGAACCTATTTGTTAGTATCGTAGGCCTACATTTTTACTCAATAAAAATTAATTCTATAATTTTGGTGAAAGCTTTGGAAAACAAAAGTATGCAATAAAGAAGTATAATGTGTGTGTGAATGATTTTGTGGATATTAAATGTAAACTTTAGTTCGTATTCTATGGAATTGTTCGAACTCAAGTTTATATATATATATATTATTGTTTCAGCTTTACATGTACAATAATTTAACTGTTATGTACGAAAATCCAATGTTGAGTGCAGTTTAAAAAGATAATTCATAATTCTTAGGCATACATAAAAACTTGATGGTTAAATCGTTTATACAAGTTTTTGTCATTAATTTAAATTCTAAAATTCGGAGGAAATCACATATATTTTTTCAACTGGCATATTTTTGGGATATACACTCAGTAAATGTTTGAGAATATATCACTATTTTCTGGGCAAGGTTCCTTTTCTGTAAATGAAAGTTAGTTCCGCAATGGAAAACACTTACTATGAAGAGAAAAACTTAACAGTGTTATTAAAACTGAAAAAATACCATTTATTATTGGAAATTAGAAGCTTTTAAAATTTCGTGTCATTTTTTTCTGATACAACTGTTTTGTACTTAGAGTTATGTTTTCTATAATGTTGATGCGAGTAACAAAAAAAAACCCATTAATTTTAACTTTTTCTGTTCTGCTTGTTTGATTTTTAGTCAATTTTACGTAACTTTATAGAGTATATAATTTCACCAATATAGTATAACTACATACCGACCAAGAAGGAAGATGTTATCCATTTTTAAACATAACTTTCCAGTTTGTTACTGAGTCAGTGCACTAGATGGCGTTATGTTGCGACTTGAGTGCGATATCAAAGTAGGTTGAGGATGTAGGTTAGAGTTAGTACTAGTAATAATATGGTTCTGTAAAGTTTTATGTTTGAACCATTTTATCTCAGCTCTAATTCATGACAAAATTGTTTGCATATACATTTTGAAAACTCTTTACTTATTGCTATTTAAATTATATTTTCACTTGCGTTACAGAATTTTTCCGTGAAAATTTGATTAGTTAGTATGTTAGGTATGAAGTAATTAAATAATGTGAAATTTGAAATATTCTCTCCCCAAACGTTTTTTACAACGAAGAAAATAAATTTATTCTTTTTACATGTGCGATATTTATTATAAGTACATTAATTTATCACCTGGCATTAATTTCTGATTAGTTTTGTTATTTAGAACTTGGAAGATTTTGGGACCAATATAAAAACCTCTTTTAGAGCTCTTGTAAAAAAAAATTATGATTTTTTTGTCTCAAAAATCTTGCATTAAAGTTCAAAACTTTGCGGGTAACGATAAGAAGTTCAGCGAGATCTATACTTAGCGCCCTCTATTGAACGATTGAAACAGGCGAATGCAATACTCCAACTTCAACAACAAATGACGTAGAACAGGAAATCGTACACTGACTAAACAGTTTTCCATACATGTAAAAACGAGATGTTGATTTTCGCAAGCAACTAGTTCTACGACAATACACAAGACTTATTATTACCAGATATGGGCATATGGACAATGTTCTTAAAATAAAATCATGTATATAATTGTTGTAGGAAGATATTTTAATTGAAAGTAATAAATTTTGTTTTCCACTTAGATACATGTTTGTGTGTCTGCGTGTTCATAATTTATGGAAAATAAAATTAGATGGAAATTGATATTTGAATCCTAGGCTAAATGATTTGTAGTAAAATCAAAACAACAAAAAAAGAAAAATATGGGACAGGAGTTGCAAGTATGATTGGAAGAAACACTGAAAGTAGTTGTGTATTTTGAAATTTACTGTTTTATAATATCATGTATTTTCAATTACAGATTAGGGTTCATATTTATGAGTAAACACGATTATCACACTTTCGATGTTTGTCTGTGTTTAAGCACGAAGCTACACAATGGGCTATTTATGTTAGGCTCTTGATACCCGGTTTTTAGTGTTGTAATTATAAGCCTTCAGACTTAACGCTGAGCCAACTGGAAGCCATTTTCGATGTTATTGTAATAATTATATTTATGTAAGTTCATTATTAAGTGACTTTTTCTTATTCACCTTTTTCAGGTCATATTTGTTTCATATGTATACAAATTTATTTTTAAGTATATATAATGTCAAAATAATAAAGCACTGAGTCAGCCGCAGATTTTGTGGCTTTTCGGCACTAGGGTGATTCATTTGCCCGGTTCACAGCCGTATTGTGGGGATGTTGAATATCTCCCATAGGCGGCGAGAAGCACGTAAATGGATTCTAGAGAGAATCTTCAACGCGAAGCGAACTTTCGCGAACATCAGATCAATAATTGTTTCACTCTTCCACTGTGCCCTTTCCGCATAACGACCAGCTTCAATCTCTGGTCTTCTGCAAAGTTTACGTCGATCAATATCAACGCAAGCCTCTACTCGGTTCCGTAGTGTCGCGAAAGGCAGTAACGAGCCTCTCTACCCACACATACACATTCGCTGAGGAAAGAAACTGTACAGAATAGGTCTAGGACTAGGAGCACGTGGGCAATTCTCCTGATTGGGGGGTTCTTGTCTTGCATAATTTTGTGTTTTTGAGTGCATGTGTTGAGATATTTTCGTCGTTCTTACAAAGTAATCATATATAATGTTGTTTTATGTGACCATAATTCGTCTAACAGTATGGAAATATATATATATTGAACATAATGTATCATTAGAAGTAGTGTTATCTTCAGGATTTTAAAGCTGTTAAAACCAAATATTCACAATAGAATTAGTTATTTGCCGTTATCAATCACATTTAAGCAGAAAAAGTGCCGTACTGTCGATTTCTGTTTCTAACACTGTGTGTTTTTGATTAATTAATTTGACTATTTCGGATTCAAAAACAGAGGGGGCGTGTAAAAGTAACATTTTAATTTTATAAGATGTACAAACTAAGGAGTAGATAGTTTGATAATATTCTTAAAAAGGGAGAAATGGCTGAAGTCATTTGCTATTTTTGTGAAAAAGCATAATCTAATTTTTTTTTACCATAAATCTGAAATAGGCTTTTGCACAATTAGCTTTTCTTTGCCTTATTATTTATGACCCGGATTTCGGGTTTGTGTTAAATGTTTAAAAAATTTTATTAGAAATTATGTAGATTCTCAAATTGTAATAGTGTATAGTAAGGCATTATATGCTAGCTTGTTCATTGTATGATATACTTTCACAGTCTCTCACGCAGAATTACAATATGTTTGTTTCAAAAAGTTGTTTACGAATATTCGTATTCTAACGACTTCAGAGCCATCTTGCCTTGCCAATTCAAGTGAAATGTAGTTAGATATACTTTTATAATCTGAACCTTTAGTTAACAACACTATTCTATTTATCACTCAATGTTTGTTGTAGGTGAAGAGGAAACTTACCGCTTTGTCTTCACCTGTGTACATTAGTAAAATAACAATCTAGGAAGTACGTACAATTTACACAGTTATATGTCAAGATTTATTTTTTAACTAATAAAAAGAAATTGAGTCGTTATTTTGGTAAAACTGTGCGTTTTCAATTCGTGGACGTAGTTTTCTGTTAATTTTGCGAATATTCATTCACCAACCATTTCTCACTTATCAAATGTAGAAAGAAACATTCGAAGTCTTTGTAAGTTATATTTGTATTAACAATTGTTTTGAGATACAATGAGCTGCCAATATTTAAGTAGTGAAGTGGTTAAATGTCTCGCATCATTCAGCACATATATGGGTTTTGGCTGAAAATTGTATAATACTTTATAAAATAAGTTATTATTTAACTGAGCAGTAGTTACCTGTGATACTATTTTTCATTTTAAACGTATTACTATAGATGAAGTAAAATAAGTGAAGAGATGTTTCTGCATGTTGTGATTTATTCATTGTAGGGTTTCTAGTCTAGTGCTGAAGTCCTCCCATGGTTGTTAGTGTAGGTCTAACTAGACATTTTAAGTCTATGTTTGTAGTTGGTCTATTTGTGCTGTGCTCACAACGAGTATCGAAACCCTATTTTTAGTGGCATAGGGGTAAGCCTTGAAACTTACCCCTATGCCACTTAGCTGTTGATTTTTAGATATGCTCTAGTTTCATAACAGTCTGGTGAGGCCTACGCGAACCATAACTGTCCCGGGTCCAGAGCACTGTATTGAAAACTTGTTCCTAATGAACCTTTAACGATTTGTTCATTTATCTTATTTAAACTGTTTTTCTGTAGCATAAAGCAACATGTTTAATACAGAAATAAAAATAAGTAGAACAGCGTGAACCTTATCATACTTTATAAAGCCTAAATATTTAGTCAACTTCCCAAATCGATGGTTCACATGCAGTAGATTGACTTAAATAGTCTGCATGTAAAGTCACTGAATGGTGTTTATGAGGATGTTTGTAAAAGCCATAAATAATGTAAATCAAGTTAATAATTTCAAATAATGTGATTCGAAATAGAGATGTTTTATATTTTTCAATTAGTTAACACAGTTTTATTAAGTTGGGAATATACATCTCAAATGGAGAAATTACCAACACGTGTACCTGGTATTGATTAAATTGTCAAAAATTATTTCAGCACGTGAAACATATTTTTTTCCTTTCGTTTTTCTCTAGAGTGTCCAAACACCCATCATCAATGTAGCAGACAGTATGTGCGACACCAAGGCCCCTGGCACAAAACGGAAGTATGATGAAGATTCAGGAGTGGACCCACTAGATTTTAAACACCCTCTTTACTGTAACCAACGACAGTTAGTATTTAATATGAGCGTATGCAAGCTAAACAGACTACCTATGAGACAGACACTCAGTTTGCGACGATCTGTGCTAATTTATAACACTATGCGTACTATTCAAAGGGAGTGTGAACAGGAAGGGGTGAAAATGAGCTATGGTTCCAGTGGTCATATCATTCGTCCACCTTATAACCCCCAGATGATGACCCTTGATCCACCTCCAGATCCTTCACCTGTTGCGGTTGATGGTGTTCCACATAAATCTTGCGACTCTTCAGATGAAAACTTGAAATTCTCCAACCATCCATCTACAACAGAAATTAGTAGAATGGATATAGATGCCTACAATTTGGTGAGATCGTCAGAAATGGCAGATATAAGCAGCTACTATTCAAACAAACTTTTAGCAATAGAAGAAAACGATAAAAACTGTACAGAGAGTGAATGTTGGACAAAATCCTCACCTGAAGAGAGTTCAAATGTTTTTAGTTGTAACGGAAGCTGCAGTCACCAACCTAATGATGATTACGAAAGGTACATGATGGACTTTGACGCTTCTTCGGGTAGGCTGACCCCCTTCATCAGGACGCTTTGTGATCGTCTCGATTCTGGTGCCTTATGGAATGAAGATGGAGACAGACTAACTAGTCTGAATTGGAGCTCAGTTCTAAACTTTAGTTCCTCGTCAAGTAACAGTTCTAGAACAGTCACCGTTGATGGAAGTCTCACCACTGACAACAATTTTGACTCATCTTTTGATGAAAGTTCAGGTCCTCCGACTCTAGCAACAACTCTTGGAACATCGACAGAATCCTCCCAACTTCATTTGCTCATGCCAGCTACTAGCAGTCAATTAATGACGGTTACGACGTCATTGTCTTCTCTGGTTGGGCCCGAAGAAAAGTCCAATACAAGCTCAAACACAAGCCCAACATCTGGTCATTCAAGCCCCACAATGGACACATTTTGCCCCGTAAGTAGCAGTAGCTCCAGCAGTAGTTCGAGCTCTGGGGAAGAAATTTTCGGCGATATTGATCTGTCTCTGTATGATTTTGATGTGTACTCACCACTGTCTCCGCCCAACGTGAAACTAGCTCCGGTAAGCGCCGAAGAGCTCTTAAGATTTTTGGTAGACAATGGCCATTCCCCATGCCAGGTCACTACTGTCGTCTCGTGATTCATCAGTGCTTGAAAGTGGAGTCTTAACTTACTACCAATATTTTAAATTTTCAGAAAGTGTTTTAACTTAAAAATATTTGGGATTTTATTCTTAAATATACTGCTTTTAAATATGTCAGCAACCAAGGGCAGGACTACACTCTCAAACTTGAAACGTGTGGGGCATGATGTACAAATCAAAGTGCTCTAGTCATCGGTGGTTACAGCCTTGTGTATTAGTAACGTAGAATATTATCCAAATTTTATACTATTAAACGGCAGAAATACCAATATTAGTTTAAAGTGTTATGTAAAATAAGGGACCAAATATTGGTTTTAAAGATCAGTAATTGGTTACAAACGTAGAATATAAGGTATTGTCAATGGTATGTTCGTTTTCATCGACTTTGTCACAAAAAACAACATAAATTTGTTAAGAAGACTTACCAGCATAATTCTTTTTATTTACTTGTAATGTAATCACTGTTAACGAAAAAACCCACTATTCAAAATTTTATAAACTTAGACAAAATCATTGTAGTTTGGGGTAGCAATTGATATTGTGTGATATATGTAGAAAGTAAGGATCTACAAGTAAAGCACATGAGCGAGTGCGAAGGAGGCTTAACTCGAATTAAGTATTGACCAAAGAGCCTAGGCCACAAACATCAAACTAAAGTTAGGTCCCAAGTATTTATATAAAATTGTGATCTCCATGATCTATATAATTTTTTTTTTGTGAAACCTTTTTATCTTTGTGCAGCTCTTTCAATTATTAACTGAGTTAAGCCTACTTCATTGTTGCTAAAACTTGTTGCGCATATAATAAGGCCTAACACACTAAAAAAGTACGTCCACAAGGTTTTAAGAACTGCTATATATCGCACCAAAGAAGGGTGTAGTTTTATATTTTCTTTCCAACTAGAGCCACCTAAGCCTAAATTACAGATGGTTTGTATATATATGGTTACGAGTCGGAAATGTTTAATAAGGAAAATTGTATATTTTTATCTGTAATTACAATATGAACCAATACTATATTTCTAACTGTAAATAACTGTTAAATGTTTTACTTATTATAACCTGAACTGCAAGAACATAATTTCTTTACTAAACGCTGGCTTATACGTGGATGAGTTACTCTCTGTTTCGTCAGAGCGTGATATCATAAAATATACACTAATGGTAATTGTTTTTTCACTTTCCTATCAAAATCGTTTACATCTTGTTATAAATTACAAGTATGTCCAGTCGAACGTCCTAGGTCCAACAGTTTTTGAATAGTCACAAACAGTTTCAACCCTCCCTCAGTGTTTGTGTTTGATGTGTGTCAGAGTTTTAAGTATGTAAGTTGGGCTGAGGATTCTTCTACAGTAGGTGTCAGTGACTTGTTGACAATTAATGCCAACAATAAATGGACAGCACACAATCCACTTGTTTGAAAATAATATATTCAAAACAATTCAAACGTATGTACAAATATTATTTACACTATAGGATATCACAGCTTTATCTAAAACTTTAAATAATTCTCTTTTCTTGTCAAAAGTCCACACAGGCTGATTTAATTACTTTTGAATCCAATTGACAAGACGAATTATTTTTCTCTACTTTGTTTCTTACTGTACAATCTGCGATAATGGGCAATTGAAGATAAGTGGCGATTAGCCTTGAATAGAAAAATAAAAAATAAAATGCTTGAATATTTTAATTTCAAGCAAGAATTACTTAGCTGAGTAATTAAATAGATTGCAACTAAAATTTCCCATGTAATTTAGCTACTTTAAAAATTGATAAAAATTTTTATTTGGTGTTTGTTAATTGAAACTTGATGAAGATGAAGCATACACAGTGTTCTCATGGTAATATGAATTTAAAAACGTGTTTTAACATGAATACCGAAATGTTCCATGCATACACGTGCTGTTTTAGCGACATCAAACTTTTGTTACAGAGGTTCGTATTCTGTATAACTTGTTGGCGTTTTTAAATAAACAGACTAAACTATTCTTTTTTTATTGTTAGACAACCCTTTTCTCTGTCTGCATGTGTTAAATAATGGGATCTCGTGTATTATAAAAAGAGAGGGGTGTGATAATTGGGTATGCTTTGTTAACATACTCTAAAGATTGCGTGGATTTAAAATCCAACACTTTAGCTCTTTATAAACCATCTTTTGTGACTTTCTGGGGTTGAATTATGAAGAATACAAAAATTCTGCATATCCTATCTTCTATCGACAATCTGTCATTCCTTAATCATTAGTTACATTTTTAATGGTAATGTGAAAACATTAAAGCTTAACAATGTCAAAGAGTTGCTGTTCTCACATTTTGTGGAATCCACTTTTGTCGCACATTCTGTGTATGTAAATATGTATATATGTGTATGTATGAATATTCTTGTACGTGTATGTGTACATTTATATTGGCCTGCTGGTTTGTGGTGTACTTTGAAATTAAACAGTCTCTAAATTCTTTAATTTTGTTTTATACTACAATCTTGTTCTTCAACGCTACTGTATACAGTTATAAAATATACCTATTTTTTTTTGTTTTGTTTTTCAACTGAAGAGCATAATAACAAACATATTACAAACTACTGATTTCGAAACAAAATTATAATGATTATTTTATCGTATACGGTTCTCTTTCACCCAGTGTTTTTAAACTACAAAGTTCCAATATGATGTTTATAAAATTTGCTCTGAAAGTGTGTAACAAAACTATTCACTAATCTTTCGTAGAACCTAGGAAGAGGAGCAGAACGAAATCTATTTGAATCGCCATTTAATCGTTATTACTGAATAAGTTATGAAAAAAAAATGTGTGAATTACCAAGTTCTTTTAAAAAAACTGTAGTATTAAAAAAGCTAACAACTTTCCAGATTTAGTTTAAGTAAGAATTGTTTGTTATTGAGCTGATTTCCCCAAATCACGAAACACATGATTGTGAAGTTCCGTAATATTAAGCTTTGTCTGAAAATGTAAATACCCATAAAAAATTGTTTGGATTTGTTGATTAATTATCTTTGTAAGATATACACTAGTTTAAAAACACGACGCGGCAGTGATACTGAGATTATTAACTTGAAATTCGAGTTACTGTGACAACTATGAAATCTTGTGGGACCTTTAACAAGTATTGAAAATATTTTATGTACTCTGAATAGTTGAACTGAAGTGAAGTAGTTGCATTATGTAGAATAGAATGAGTTAAAACAATAATGTGTTTGATATATTACTGAGGAATGAGAAGAAGGCTTCCACTTACATTATAATTTCATTGATCAGACGTGTCTGTGCACGAAGTGATTATGGGATCGATGAACAAATAACTGGAGGGTTTGGGTGTGACGTCAGAGGTGGTTTCTACATTTAGGGAAGACTTTATTTATCATAATTTTATTTTTTAAAGAGACAAATTTTTATCTCTTCATTAGGTTCTAGGCAAACAAATTGGAATATTTTCCGTTTGGTGGCCACCAACAGTAATAAGCGTCAGTGCGGAACTCATCACCAAATGGTTGACTCTTTGTGAATTTATATGGAGAAATAGAAACAAAGATGAAGATTTATTCAAAAAAATACTGTTTAATATCGCAGAATTTGCTACATAAATACCATATAATGTTTTATTATTAATTATTTTATTGCATTACTAGTGTTATTTTGAAAACGATCTGTTGGTGGGCACTAAATGGAAAAGACCCACAAATTGTTCTGAGATGTACACACCAGATTTGTATTATAATTCCTAACATTTTCTTAAATATTCTCTCCCCCAGGACAAGCGAAACTAACATCATAGCTTATATTATGTACTTCTAGACGTCTAAAAGATTTAAATGTAATAATATTGTTCTATAGATTATAGCCACAGGTGGCAATACTTGTTCATGTGAAAGCTGAATAGTCAAAGAAATAAAATATTAAGTGAATTTTCTTGAAATATGTTTTTGATTTTGAAAGATGAAAATGTTGAGGAATATACGTTATGACTGATTTTATTTATTTTAGATCATTTTGCTCTTTTATGAAAATGAATATTGTGTTTCAGTTACTAGATATTTTTTGGCCTTCCTTGTGATTTGGATAGATCCTGACGATATATTTATTGCTATTCGAGCACAGAAGAAACGAAAAGCTAGTGTAAATAAGAAAGCAAATATCCATTCAATATTATTTATATATACTTCCTATGAATAAAATCCCTTTTTAGTATGTATGCATCTTCCAATTAAACCAATGTTAATGATTTTAGATCTGTGTATTTGTCTTTTGTATCATTTATTTGTTTTCTCAAAAATTTTGCATTTGTGTGTCTTGAATTAATGTTCAGATTTCCAGAGTGCAAACTGGGACTTTTATTGTATTTTTACATACGGAGTGACAACGTAAAATTTCTGAAACAGTTTAAACTACAGTAACACGTTTTTTAGCATTTGGTATATAATATAATCTGTTGTTTGTTGCATCGTAATTTAAAACAATAGACATCAAAATTTCTTAAGGACTTACCTAGTTAAAACAGAAAATAAAATAAAAACACTCAAGTTAGCAGCTGGACAGTTCTTTAAATCTCAATTCCTGCGACTTCCCAATGACAGGTTAGGTAATAAAACGAATGAGAGATGCGACAAGAATTATCTGTTGTGAATTGAGCAGCTGAGTTATTTGGAAACTGATCAAATATGGAAAATTTTAAAATATTCAAGATAAACATATTCTTCATAGAAAGAAAAGGGTGGTAGCAAGTAAAAAACCAGGTTGGCTCACAAAGGATAAAATTAAAGAAAAACAACACAAATTTAAGCAATTTAAATTGACTGGTATGACGGGAGATTTAGAAGATCAAGCAAATTGGTCAAAAAGGAAATTAGGACATCGAAAGGATGTATTAAAAAAGGTGGCTGAAAATGTAAAAATTAACAGTAAAAATTTCTTTAAGTATTAGGTCGTCAAGAAATTAATGTCGCTTTTCTTTAGATGAAAAAACCCGAACTTGTATCTCAAAACAAAACATTTATTTAATGAAATAGTCTCCATTCTTATCGATGATGCTTTTCCAGCTTACAATCAGGTTGTTAATGCTCTGATTAAAGAAATAACTTGGCTTCGAAGCAAAAACATGTCGATGTCCTCTTTAACACCTTCCACATTTGCATACGTTTTCCCATTGAGAAGCGAAAAAGATGGTAATCTGATGGTGCCATACCTGGAGAATATGGTGGGTGGGGGAGAACTTCTCAACCCAACTCCATAATCTTGTGTTGCGTCAAACGTGCCACATGTGGACGTGCATTGTCGAGGAGAAGAAGAACACCTTCCCGATGACGAGTGAAGGGCTTGGTTTAAACATTCCAGTTGCTGACTATAGATCTCTGCATTGACAGTTCGTTGTGGATTGAGGAGTTCGAAATGAATTACCTC